TTCCCTTCTTCTTTCCCCACCAACCACCTCCCAGACAAAAAAGTGAGAGGTATTGCTTCCTGGGAGTAAATCTGGTAACCGCATCCACTAGTTGAGCATGCTTATTTCCCTCAGTGGTAGAACAGGCAAAGGTAAATGAACTGGAGGATATTGTTAGGGAGTCAGGAGCCAAACTATAACAGAATACAACTCTAGAGTCAGGACAGAGAGACTGTCATTAAATAGGACCAAGAGAATGAAGAGAGAGGCAAAGTTCTTTGGACCCCACGGAACAAATACTAAGGCTGATGCAGAGGGAAAAGCTATGGGCTGGAAGGAGACCCTCTCACTAATAAACCTTGTCACCTTGTCGAGTACGTCAGTCTTATCAACTCTAACTCATAAGAGCAGGGGGGCGACTGTGGAGCACCCAGCAGCCACAATTACCCTCTCTCTAGGCAGAAAGGTGTCAGCAACTGCACATTTGGGAGCACAGCCAATTGACTCGTCCCAGAAGTACAGGAACCAGGGGCATAGCCACCAGGCAACCCACTTGGAAGCTCAGATAGTGCTCTAGGCCTCCTTCTTTGACTACAAAGGACTGCTCTTCAGGTGTTAGGGCCCAAGACATTGTCCTCCCTCCTAGCCCAGCCGACCTGACTCCCGCTACAAGCGTCACTCTTGCAAAAAATGGGTTCGCAGGGAGCAGCAAGCCCTATTCAGAGCCCTCTCCTGCTGCCCAACATGTCCTAATAACAATGACAGGTGCTTACGCAGAGACCACCTTCCCGTTCAGGATTTCCGCCGGCGCCATGGCCTTTATCAGTCCGCTGCCCACGATGGACCACCAAAATCGAGGTTCCACGCGCTCCGCAGTCTTGCAGGACAGCCCACCCACGTGCTTAGCTAGTGCCTGGGCCGATCCTGCGATTGCGCCTGCGCGTCAGAGCTGGAGGCGCGTGCACACCCCGGGAAGCCTTGGGTCACTTTAAAAACGGAAGACCTGAGCGGAGCGGTAGAGGGACGGCGGCCGGAAGAGGGCAAAGGGGAGAGAAGGGAAAGCAATAGTGACTGGCTGGCAGCAATGATTGGCTGCTGCAAAGACTCGGTCAGAGCGCGCCTCTGCGTGGGGCGGGAAACCCGCTGCTGAAGAAGCTGGGACGGACTCCAAAACCCGCCTTGACTCCAGCCAATCAGAGCGCGGAGTTGGGGGGCGGAGCCGGAGCGCGCGGTCTCTCGGGAAGATAGATTCCCGAGCCGGGGGGCGCGGCTCCGGGAGAGTCGCGGTTCTATAGAAGCCTTCCTGGGGCTGAGAGCTCGGCGTCCTTTGGAGGATGCTGGTCTGCTTCTCCCAGCCTCGGGAACGTGGCGGGCGCCGTGGCCTGGGCGTACTTGTGGCCGCTCAGGAGTTGCGGGTAGCCCCCGGCTTCCTCACACACCCGCACCGCCGTCCTGGCGTTTGGGCCCGCCGGATTCTAATTCGGAGAGCTTAGGATGGTTCCCATTACCAAGCTTTTCAAAGTCCTCAGGTGAACCTGGTGCTCAGCCTGGGTGTCAGAGCTGGAGGGGACCACCTGGGGTGTGCCCGGGCTCACGGAGGGTCGCCAGCCTGGCAAGTCTGGGTTTGGAGAGCTGACACCCGCGCCCCGTGAGCCAGAGCCAGGTGGCTAACGAGGGGGGACATATCGATAGATAGATAGATAAGGATATAGATGGTTGTTGGACTTTTTCCCTCCTCGTTTCTAGGTTTTGAGAGTAATTTAATGTAATGAGAGACTGACTTTTTGTTAACATTTTTATTGAGGCGCATATATGGCGTAAAGTTTACCCATTAAAAAAAGGAATTACTTAATTTTTTGAGAGGTTTTTGCTATAGGGCGCATGCGCTCGCCAGACAGAGAGAGACAGAGAGACAGAAAGCGAGAAATGCCCCCCAGGGGGCATAGTCACGCTGCAATCCCTTCTCCGTTCTCCTCTCGGGATCTTGGGCAGGCACGCACATGCGCCTGGTGTGAGTTTTAAGCCACCAGGTCCGGGACGCGAACCGTACTGTATTACATGGGAGTCCAGCAACATAGCCATTACGCTAACTGCTGGTCCCGATTATTATTATTATTATTATTATTTTTTAATTTGCCATCGGGCGCATACACTCACCAGAGAAACAGAGAAGGGAAAGTGAGGAAGTTAGCTGCCAGGTCCCGGAATGGAACTGGTGAGTCACATGAAAGTCCAGCACCCTAACCACTACCCACATCCTTGCCCCAAAATCCACCCATTTTAAGTGGGATTCAGTGATTTTTGATATACTTACAGAATTGTGCAACCACCACCATAATTGAAATTGGACATTTTTGGCCATATCTGTTTCTGTTAATTGCTTCAACTTTTTTTTTCTTTAATTGCTCGAGAGCCTAAGAGAGAGGAAGCAAGCACCTTCCAAGGGAGCATGATCAGTCTGCAGTCCCTTCTCCATTTCTTCATCCTGTCAGCATTTTTGGCGATTGGGGTGCCTAATGTTTTCCAAGTGCCTGGGGTGAGAGTCCAACTGCAGTGGGCCAAAAGGGGTCTGGCTCTCAACCACCAGGCTGCTGGTGGCCAGCTAACATTCTTGAAGTTCGCACAGGTGGACATGGTAGAGGCACAAATTTAATAATATATGCAACATAATATAATAGCAATATAATGATAAGGATCTTTGAACATAAACCTTCAAATTGTCTTGGAGCTGAACAAGTGTAATTAATGGTATTTGAAGCAAATGTTTTTGGTAGATTGTCGGTAGTGAATCCTTTGTCTTACTATACTAAGTATTGAGTCTTCAGAAAAGTCATGATGCATTTTGTGTAGAAAAATGCATCATGACTTTTTTGACGATCCAGTAGATACTATTTCAGCTGTCCTCATTTGCTGAGGAAGAGATGAAACCCTATTTTAAAGATGGGGAAATAGACTTTTTTTTCTTGTTTGAAGAGGTTTTTCTATAGGACACAGGTGCTCACCGGAGAAACAAGAGATAGTGAGAAATCACCCTCCAGGGGCATGGCCATACTGCAATCCCTTCTTTATTCTCCTCTCAGGATTTTGGACATACACCCAGACATTCCTGGAGTAAGTTTCAAGCTTCCAGGTCTGGGACTTGAACCACCGTTGGTCATGTGGGAGTCTAGCAACTTAACCATTATGCCATCTGCTGGTCACAAGGAACATAGACTTTGTTTTTTTTTGAGAGTTTTTTTTGTTTGTTATAGGGCACGTGCACTCACCAGAAAGACAGAGAGAGATAGAGAGACAGAAAGCGAGAAATCACCCCCCAGGGGGATGGCCACACCACAATCCCTTCTCCTCCATTCTCCTCTCAGGATCTTGGACATACATGCACATGTGCCCGGCATAAGTTCAAGTCCCGGATCCTGGATTTGAACTGCACTCAACTACATGGGAGTTCAGCAACATAGCCATTATGTCAACTGCTGGTCCCATAGACTTTTATGAGTAATTTGTGCAAAGGTGCATATTTTTGCCAGGGGAAGGATTCAAATCTGGATACCTTTCCTGTAGATCTATTACCTCTGCTGTCACAGAGTGATTTTCAGCTGTAATAGCTATATGTGACCTGTACAGTTCATTAATTCACTGAGCAAATAATTGTTGAGTGGCCACTGTTTCCCAATAGCACTATCCTTATTGCTAGAGGATACTCTACCAAAGCAGATACTGTAGTGAACAGTACCTGCCCTGAGCTTGTATTTTGGTGGGGAGACACTACCTATAGGAATATATACTTCAGAGACTGAAATGCCATTTTTTGTAAAAATAGACTAAGAAAACAGAGTGATAGTGGGAGGCAAGAGAGGGTTGTTTTAGAAGTATGCAAAGAGGGGGCTGGCAGATAGTGTGGTAGTTAAGGACACTGGACTCCCACATGGTTGACCACACTTTGAGTCCTTGACCTGGTGTCTTTCTTTCTCTCTCTCTTTCTCTCTATCCCTCTCTGGTCAAATTTAAATAAATAAATAAAATAATTCTTTTTTTTTTTAAAAGGATATTCTTTTTTTTTTAAAGTGTGCAAAGCAATGTCTAGGTATCTGACTTGAGTAGAAACCTGGATAAAAAAAGAACTCACAGTATGAGAGAAAGCAATGCTCTAGTTTGTACAACTGCACAGTTGGAGTTGCCATTTACTAAGCTGAAATAAGCTAACAGTGGCAGGACTATTTTTGGGGGGTAAGATCACGATTCAGTTTAGGTGTTATTAGATGCCTCAGACATCCAAGTGATTTTACTATATTTAAATCCATGAGATTAGATGAGATCCTACCAAAGGAACTAGGTGTAGGTAGAAGACCAAGTACACTTCAGTACTAGAATTCAAAGGAGATGAGGAAGAACCAGGAGAGAAGATTGAAAAGACGAGTTCATTGTGTTACAAGAAAAATCCACAAGAGCATGCTGTGTATTAGAAGGCAAGTGAAAAATGTATTTCATGGGAAGAGGAGTAATTAATCCTATCAAATGTTGCAGATTATTTAAATAAGGCAAAAATGTGAATAGGGCATTTCACATAGAAAGACAAGGAGCCAACAGGTGGTATGGTTGAAGCACTAGATTCCCACATGGCTGACCACATTTGAGTCCCAGACCTGAGTGCTTGCTTTCTCACTTTCTTTTTTCTCTCTGTGTCTGGCAAGCACATGTGTCCTATAGCAAATTAAAGAAGAAGAAGAATAAATAAAAATTTTTAATTTAAATAAAATTTCCGAAGAAGAAGAAGAAGAAATAAAAATTTTTAATTTAAATAAAATTTCCAGGTGCTAATGTTAAAAAAAAAATAGACAAAATATTTTTATTTAATTGCTTATGGCAGTTGCTAGTCCCTGAGGCTCCATTTTCACAACCTATTGGAGGAGCAATTTGGTAATACCAAAAATGTAAGCATGCGTTCTTCAATCTTGTCCTTCAACTTCTAGGAATTTATCCTAGAATAATATTTACATATATATTTAAAGATATGTGTAGAAGTACTCATAACATTGATTTCAGTAGTAAAACTACAAAATCTGGGGGCCAGCAGGTGGCATGGTGGTTAAGGGCTCTGGATTTCCACATGGCCAACTGTGGTTCGAATCCTGGACCTGGCGGCTTTCTCATTTTCCCTTTGTCTCTCTCTCTCTGTCTCTCTCTGGTCAAATTAAAAATAATAACAAATAGAATTAAATAAATTAAGTTTTTTTAAAAAATCTGCATCAGAAAGGATGCAGTTGTTAATGAACAATACATATGTATAAATTTGTAAGGTAGTTTTCGAGCGTTAAATGATGCAGGTTAGTCAATAAAGTATGTGATTTATGTTAATATTTCAAACAATGATCTTTGATTACACTATCAAAAGTTGTTCTCAGTCCAGCTAGTGGTGTGGTGGTTAAAGTGGCAGGATCCCATTTGGCAGCTGCACAATTTGAGTCCTGTAACTTGAAAAATACTCCAGGCATATGTGTGTGCATGCCCAAAATACTGAGGAAACTGGAAAAGAAGTGATTGTGGCATGGCCATCTTCCCTGTGGAGTGATTTCTCACGTTCTCTCTGGCAAGCTTATGTACCCTATAGCAAGGAAAAAAAAAAAAAACTTGCTCACTCATTTACCTCCCTATTGTTATGACATTAACCTATTTTAAATTTATATTTATTTTATATGCCACTATATAAAGTGATTTATTGTTTTCCTATTTTTATGATAGGAAGCATTATGGTAATAGGGAGAGAGAAAACCTCCATAGAGTGTCATCACACCAGGATCTCCTTTCTCCAGTCTTTCAGCTTCTCAGGATGCTGAGTGCTGAAACACATGCCCACTATGTTTTTCAGATCAACCGAAGATCAAAACTCTGGTAATCATATGGCTTCTAGTGCTTTGGGGGTTACTTTACAGCTGTATTATAGCAGTTGGGGCAACTTTATTCTTTAAAATATACATGTTTACTATTTGTCTTGTATCACCAGAATGTAAGCTTTATGAGATTTCTATACTTCATACCCTCTGCTTGGGATATAATTTTTTAAATCTTTAGAGGAAAATAAGAATATTTCTCATTCTCCTGGTTTAGTTAAGTAATTAACTACTATTATTTTATGACTGTGACTTAATTCCTCCCAACCTAATTTTTATTAAAAAATAATAATAAAATGAAGACAGTCATCAGTTGTTCTTACCACTAAATTCACGTTAGAATGACCTGTATTGCCTTAAAAGAAAAGTTATGCCATGGTGGTTAAGGTGGCTGGATCCCATGGTGGACTACACAGTTCAAGTCCCAGACCTAGCAGCTTGGAAAACCTGCTGACGTTGTATATGTATGTGCCCAAATTCCCCAAAAGAGAATGGAAGAGAAGGGATTGTGAAGTGGTCATCCTTCCTGGGGGATGCTTCTCATTTTCTCTCTCTGGCAAGTGGTCGACTACATGGAAGTCCAGTGATGTAACCATTATGCCATCTGCTGGTCTCACTTTCTTAAGTTGAGGCCAGCAGATGGCAAAGCAGTTATGTCGCTGGACAACCATGTGGCTGACTGTGGCTCAAGTCCTATACCCAGTGGCTTGAAAATCACACTGGACACATGTACATGCATGCCCAAGATCCCGGGAGGAGAATGGAGGAGAAGGGATTGTGTCATGGCCATCCCTCCTGAGGGGTGATGTCTCACTTTTTCCCTCACTGTATCTGTTTCTCTCTCCAGTGAATGTACACGCCATAAGGCAATAAAAAATATTTTTTAAAAGATTTCTTAAGTTTACTAATACTTTATGGAAATAATTTTGTGTTTTCACTTAATAGGGAAGTAAAAAATCTCAGGTCTTACTGTATTACTTTAGGAGACATCTTTTCTTTCCTTGGACCTCTGTGATGCGTTCACCTAGCAACAGCTTCTCTGATGTACAAACATTCTATAGGCAAATTGTTCAGGATAGCTACTGATATTGGACAATTCAGATCTCTTCGGGGAATTGACCTTGGATTTGGAATTTTCTCTTATACCTAATATGGTAAAAGTGAATTCTTTTTACTTTCTACTAAATTAAGCATAGCATACTGTACTGTGTAAGTGTGTAATAAATATGATAATCATGTATAAGCCTAATAATCATGTCATATTGCTATATCTTGTTTGCTTTTACTTTAGGCTTCTAATTGTTATTAGATTTTCATAAAGTTAGTTTTGGAAAACAGTACTATTAACATTTATTTAGGTTAACTTTGTTTTAAGTGGATTTTTTTTTTCTCTTGAGTTCCTTTTTGTTTGTTACAGGGTGCATTCACTTGGCAGAAAGAGAAAGAGGGAAAGTGAGAATTCACCTTCTAGGGGGATGGCCATGCTGAAATCTCCCGGCCTCCATTTTTCTCTTGGGATTCTGGGCATCCACAGACACACACTAGGCATATTTTTCAAGCTGCTGGGTCTGGGACTTGAACCACGAAGTTGGCCATGTAGGATCCAGCCACCTTGACCTGCATACAACCTGGTGGACCACCTATTGAGTTATTTAATTATTCATTCCATGTTTTTTATGCATAGTATGGGATTATAAAGATAAACCGTAGGGGCTGGCAGGTGGCATGGTGGTTAAAGATGCTGGACTCCCACATGGCTGACCACAGTTCAGGTCTCGGTTCTGGCAGCCTGCTTTCGCTTTCTCTTTCTCTCTCACTGTCAGTCTTTCTCTGGTCAAATTTTAAAAATATGATAATAATAAATAAAGTTAAATAATAATTTTTTTAAAAAAAGTCATAAATAGGTCCTACTGTTAGGGAGTAGGGAAGGTGAGAGTTTTACATAATATGATACTGAATGAGATAACAAAAGAAATCATATGTTATACCTTAGTCTATTTGTGCTGCTATAACAAAATACCTGAGGCTGGGTAATTTATAAAGAACAGAAATTTGCTTCCTACAGTCCTGAAGGCTGGGAAAACCAAGATAAAAGTGCAGAATTTGGCACCTGGTGAGGGCCTTCTTGCTGTGTTCTCAGGTGGCACAGGGATGAACACTGTCTTTACATGGTAGAAGAGCCAAAGAGAATACATGCACTCCCTCAAGCCCTTTATAAAGGCCCTGATGCTATCACATTCATGATTACATTTCATTATATGAATTTTAAAGGATTCAATCAGACCATAAAAACTGTGAAAGTCAAGACAAGAGAGAGATTACTCTCACTTTGCAGGAATCAACAGATAGTTTTGAAGGAGGTGGTGCTAGAACTGATACCGAAGGATTTTTATGTTCACCCTTCTGGGATATACTTTGGTCCACACAGTAGCGTGTTTTTAGAGGCAGTATGAATGAAGCTCATTAAGTAAACTTGTTTTTAATAAAGCATAAGACTCATACAATGGCAAGGAAATAAAAGTAAAAGTAAAGGATGGGATTCTTACGAACTTTGTCTCTAGTGTCATTTTCATCCTATGCCTGAGGAACAATTTATTCGCCTTTTTCATCTACCAAAACTAGTCTTTGATTCTCCGGTTTGATTCTTAGAAATGGAATTGCTATAGTAATGATCTTAGGTATCAAGTAATGAAAATAAGGAAGAGACTAAAGTTTCATTAGTGAGATTAATATTTATACTTTAATAGTTGCCTGCAGTATAACAATAAATCTAAAATTAGTTGAGGAATTTTAAAACAGATTTCAGAGTTAGGAATGAAAGACAAGACTTTATGCTTTCTTTTCCATGCTTCTCAAAGCATATAATTCTGGTATTTTCTTCTCTTATGAAGTTTCTTTCTCATTCTGAGTCTGTTTGCTTTTCTGGAAGACATCACCCAGCAAAGGAAACACATATACCACTTACAGCGCAGCACAACCCCTCCACCCCATCACAGTTTCTAAATGTCATTTTTTTCAAAACATACTTTCTGTATTGCTCAGTGAAAGATACAGACATTAATTTGAGAGATGGTGTCTCTCTATTTTCTAAAATCGGACTTTAGAGAAGGAAAATAATATATGGAATTGAACTAGCTTGGGAAAACAGATTTAAGGCAATACTAAAGTTCTTGGGAAATTGAATTTATAAATACTATAATGTGAGGTTAAGGTTTATATTCCTCTGGGTCAGAAAGAGCACTATGAATTAGTACTTGTTATATTTTTTTTATTTAAATTTATTTATTCATTTATTTATTTTAAT